TATTTAAAAGGAAACATCAAAAATACCATTACATAGCCTAAACTTGTTTGTGTAGTTTTTGTTCTTGTCTTGTTTACATTTTTTTATTTACTTGACGCAGTTGAAATCATTTTTAATGCATGATTAATTTTTAAGGGTTTTGAAAGTTCTTCGAGAATTATATCTATAAAATGTGTGAATTTATTGTTACAGTAAAACTTGTTTAGTACGAACATGGATATTGCAAATTCACGGATATAGCGAAGTCATCTTGGATCCCCATCTATATAAATTTAATGAACTTCTTATATGGATATAAAGAATTGCGGATATAGTAAAGTAATTTTATAGGTCCCGGTGACTTCGTTATAACCGAGTTTTGCTGTAATACATTTTAATGCAGACACATTTGATTTTTTACTCAATAAAATATATAATCTCTTTACTTGAAAAAAAAAATTATTACATGTTTTACATATTGATAAGGATCTGTTGATTCTTCTTTTTTTCTTTTCCAGAAAAAGTTTTCAATTTCATATTTGCTATTTTTCTCAGGTGAATAAAAGACTGACAATGTCTCCTGGAAGATACACCCTCAAGCATTCCAGGATCCTACAAAGCAGACTGAAGCTGAAGCGATTACAACAAGCAAAGCGGAGCACAAAGCGGAGGCGCTTAGAGCTGAAGACAGAGCGGTCTGCAAAAGATGCATCACAATCTGTTCTTGAAGGTAAGTCAGATAAATACTATTTATCTGAAACTTAATTTATATGTGTGATGTTTGTTTGTTTTTACCTATCATTTTTTCCGAACATTTCTATTGCAGCGGATACATACAGCAGCAAAATTGGTTTGAGTGATGAAGTTGATTTGGAGGACATTTCTTTGAATAAATTAGATCAACTACCAAGTACCAACAAATCTTACATGGTATTTGACCTAGAGACTACTGGTTTAGGTTTGTGAAATTGTTTTTTTCTTTGTAGAAATAGCTTAGGAATATATTATATAAGGTTAAGAGAATTGTGTTGCACTTGACTTAGAAGTATACACTATGGGAGTTTCAATATTTATTTTTATTTATTTCAGCCAGGACATCAGACATTGTTCAGATTGCAGCTGTATGTGGAGAGAGAGAGTTCAACATGTACTTGACACCGCAGTCCCCAATTAGTCTTGATGCATCTGCAGCAACTGGCCTTACTTTTGTTGGTGGTGTGCTGAAGCATAATGGCAAGAAGGTGGACCATAAAGAGCCCTTTGAAGGACTTCAGCAGTTTGTTGAATTTTTGAAGACTGTTGATTGTAAACCTATTTTGGTTGGGCACAATATACAATGTTTTGACCTACCAGTGTTAATGAATCAGCTAGTCAAATGTAAATTACTTGACAGTTTTGCTAGCACTGTCACTGGTTTTATAGATACCTTACAAGTGTCTAGGAAATCTTTCAGCAAAGATGATGTTAAAGATTTTAAACAAGTCACTCTTGTAAATACTTTCATTGGAAAAGATTATGAAGCTCATAATGCTATTGCTGATGTGAAGGCATTGAGGGAACTTTTTGAAATGAAGTTGTTGGCTCTGTGTTCAGCTAATGATGTGTTCACATTGAATTATTATACTATAAAGAAGTCTTTAGAGCCCCTTGTTAAGGCAAAGATTGTATCTTCCATGATTTCGAAGAAGTTGATTGCAAATTCTCTTAGTTTGTCTAAGTTGGTGCTAATCCACAAGAGGGATCCACATAATGGGTTACGAAATGTTTTTAGTGAACCATTATCAGGTTCAAAGCAGCCTAGAATATCCAAGTCATCTAATGTAATCAACAAATTGGTTGAATATTTGAATAGCTGTGAATGATTACTGTTTGTATGTATTTTAATTTAGACAAACAGTGTGTAAAATAAAGGTCTAAAAACTTGTATGGGAGATTTCAGTCAACACTCAACCTAACGTTAGACTGTATTTTTTTTATGCTGACTGTTAATATTCTGTTGTATACTAATTTTTTGTGTATACTGTTGAACACATAATTGGATGTATTTTGACTCAATGTAGTGGAAAGAGTAATGCTTCAAAATTGATGACTGATTAGACTGTGGATTTTCATTTCATTTACTTGAAAAACAGATACATGTACATGTATAATATGTGAAATATATCTGTAATTAATGGCACACAGAAAGTATTATAGGTTTTAAAATTATATTATATTCTAAAGAATGTTGTTATTCTTTTGCAGTTATGCATCTATGAAATGAAATAAAAATAGCTTTGTATTTTTTATCTTCCATCATTTGAAATTCCTGTCATCAATAGCTTTGTAATCATTTGAAATTCCTTATCAAAAATCTTTGGACAAAAAACGTATAAATAAATGGTGGTGCTGAGAAAAAATATATGCTGGCAATGTGCTGTTTTTTTTATTTAATTTTAACAAATAGTCATAGATGAACATAATTTGAGAATTTGACTGAAAAATCACAAGTCAATTTTTTTTTACAATAATTTTAATAGTGTTGTGCTTCCAAGTTTTGGGGCTGGTCGAGGGTTGTATTTTGTTCAATTTAGTCTCCAAAAACCAAGGAAAATATAATAAGAATAAAATTTTACTGTAATTTGTTTAATTGGATATATTTCTTTGATTTAAATAGGAAAAATCATTCAATAGCATCAAAATTAGTGTTTTTATCTACAAATTATGTGAAACCTTTATTGGAATCTCATATCGTCAATTGAAAAATGGGGGTACCTATGTTTGAGAAACTCTCTCTCAATAATAATACTGACAACCCCTTCTTTTTTCCAATTCATCATACCTTAGTATGAATAATCTAAACATTTGAGAACAATTTTTTGAAAAATCACAAGTAGGTCCAGTACTAGGGACCTACCTTAAACAGCGCACCTGCAAGAACTAATTCAAAATATTCATGCTAAAATTGTTTGCATGCTTAGTTATTTTGGTTACTAGTATTTTCTCTAAATAAGTCGGGATTTTCTGTCCCAAAGCAACACATCTTTATTTTCTGTTTTGTTCGTAAGCCTTATTTGTTTGCAGACGTCGATTCTCATTGATAATTTTCTTTTACATCCTTCAATCAAGCGTCATATAAAAAAGCGTTTTAATGACCCTATAAAATCAGTTCATCTAACGATCTGTATGTAATTATTTTGAAAGTTTGTTGTACACATTAATCTAAAGTTCCCTAGAATAATATAACTGTTTTCAAATAATATTTGTCTATTTTCTCCTTCCTGTGTCAATTGTATGAATTAAGTTTATATATTTCATAAAATCATACCAATCAGTGATCGTCTCTATGGCGTAATCGATAAGGCATCGGACTGACAATCCCGGCATGTGCATGGAAGAATTTTATTCAGTAAATAAAGCCGTGCACTATTTCGGCATAGTGTGCTTACGCTATATAAATCCTTAGACCACTATGCGAGAATAGTAGGGTATGGGTTATATAGAGACAAACTGACAGGAAGCATAATAATGTCTAATAAAGTGCCTTGCCACAGCATGATACGCCCATCAAATATTGTTCTGATAATCATAAATTGGTTAGGGTGCGAGAAAATTAAGTAACCTTGATTAACAGATTGACACAGATTTCAATGATCTAATTTCCATTTCTTATCATGTTTAAAATATTGTACATACATCTCTAAGAGACTTACAGTGTAGGGATTAATTAAAACAAATAATACATCATATAATTCTAAACTGGCTGTGTTAGAGCTTAACAAATATCCATCTGCAGCTTTAAATTGTTTATTGCATATTTTATGAAATAATGGAAATGCTACAGTCTAATAAAAAAAAATCAAAAATTAATTATTCTTTAGACTATAAAATTCTAAGTGAGACATGACTGCAATTTGTTGCAAATATATAAAAATTGAAATGTAATATTTTTTCAATGACCACATGTATAATTAATTTTAATTATATTATACAATACTAATTCAGTTTTAATCATACACTAAAACATCAATTTGTTTTAATTACATTACACCAATTGAAAGATCTTTATCTGAACTACAGCCATCAAGAACTCTTAATTAACACAAGCAACTATAAGGCCATTTCTTTTTGCCCAACTCCCAAGAGATAAATTAAGATTAGATCTACAGATGCTCTTGGCAGTTAACTCCCGACAATGAACTCATTAATTTCTCTCTAATTTGACATGCACATTTCTGCTATCAAAAATTCTCCTTGACCAGTGCTTGATAATTATGCCCATGGGACAAACTGAATTCCTCTCAAATCATTAACATTTGTTATAGAATTTGCTGTAAAGTATATGATAAAAAATAAGTTTTTACTTAATTTAGCATTTTTTAATAAGGATACAACTATATTTTTACATTTTTTAGGATTATGAAATTTAAAATTTTAAAGACTTAGTTTTTTAAAAAAAATCACTTAAATTAAAGGTCACAGTGACCTTGAAATAGGTCGTGACACACCGTCTACCCAAGATGCATAAATTGTCCAAGTTTGATAATTGTAAGTCTAATAGTTTTCTAGTTATGAGCCAAACAAAATCACAAAATAAAAAAGAAAAAACGCCTGTAAAATGCAGAAAAATCATCCAATCATGATGAAAATCCCAGGTGCACACCTTCATATGGTGAAAATTAAGTGTATAAATTTTCAGACAAATCCATCCAACAGTTTCTGAGAAACGGTCCGGACAAAATCTTGTCTACAGACAGACGGACAGACGGACAGACAGACGGACATGGTGATTCCAATATACCCCCCTAAACTTCGTTTGCGGGGGTATAAAAAGGAAATTTCGATCTAAAATAAACTTTTGAAAGAGGTTGAGAAATATATTATTATTCTCCCCTTATGTTAGTTAACATGGCTATTTTACAAAAAATTGTTCAGTGCATTTATCTTCAGCAGTATATTATACAAGTAATGCTAAGAAATATTGATTTTACTTGTTTCAATGTAAATTTTTTATGAAGAAGTTCTGCAAAAAAAAAGTAATTTAAAAAATTACAGCAGATTTATTATATCAATCATTCACAAATTCTCAATCATTTAAATTTTTAAAACAAGACTAGCTATTAAACTATAATGTAACAAGTCTATAAACATATGAAATAGGCAACATAACAGAGTCACTATCATTATTTAAAATACATGTATAAACAAAATATCAGAAAGACTTGATAAAATATGACTTCAAGCTGAAGATCCTACTTAGAAATTTTACAGTCATTGAAAGTTCCATGCATTTACAAAATTATATTTCTTTGAGATCCTGAAGAAAATATACCATTTTAAAAACTACTATTATAACAATTCTGTCAACTTAAAGTGGGGGCATAATAAAACAATCACAAATATACAATTTATGTATCAGCAATATGTACAATAAGCACCTACAATTTCTATATATACAAGATTAACCTAATAGCTGCATAGATATCACAGTCAATCGTCATGGAGACCAGAACCATGGCAACAAAATGGTACACGGATGGCTTGAGCAAGTAAATACACAAAATGCCAAAATTCATAGCACTATACTGAAAGAGTTCTCTACCACTCCAAACTGAACAGTGGGAAGAAAATACATCATGTTATGATGGAAAATGTTGAGCAAGGGGAAAATTCGTTCACAATGCAAGAGATGTGAAAACCGTTTTGATTATAAACATCAATATCACCTAACATGTCTAAGACTCATTAAAGACTGTAACAATTTGACCATTTCAGTGACATCACCTGTTCATTTTTAGACAATCTTTAAACAAAAATGAGGCACAATTTTCCATAGCCAGAGGTATTTATGAATCTGGAGAGAAAAAAAAAATACTGGAATGCTACTAGTTCTGAAAAGAACTTAAAATCAATGATGATTTACGTGTATAATGAAACAAAAGTTAGTCATCATTGATGAAATGACAGCATGATACGAGTATGAGAGCAGTCAGTTGAATGTATGATACGGCCTCTAACCTATCATCATTAAATCTTAAGGCACAGGCTTATCAGCTGGACCATTAAACAGGAAGTACTGTGTTCAGATGAAGTAAAATTTCTTCAGGACTTTTTTTCACACTTACACGTTCACTAGAAATCATCCAAAAAATTAACAAGGATTATAGAATGATACTGGCCAAATATATTAATCCAGTATGCAAGTCTGGTATTTATTGTACACTACTCAATTAACTATTCCATAGTACATGCACCATGCACTTAGTCAATTATTCATCAAACATCAGTGACCAGTCCCAGTATACATGGTGTATTGTACTTTTGTTCAGAATTACACTTGTCCTGGCTTTACTTTTCATCAGTCCATTATTTCTGTACATGGTTGAGTATTAATTGTAGATAGTCCACTATTTAATTTTACCCTACACAAGTCCAGTATTATTGTACATAGTCCAGTATTTTTACTGTACATAGTCCAGTATTTACTGAACACAAGTCCAGTATTATTGTACATAGTCCAGTTTTAATTGTACACAAGTCCAGTATTATTGTACATAGTCCAATATGTACTGTATTTACTGTACACAAGTCCAGTATTTACTGAACACAAGTCCAGTATTATTGTACATAGTCCAGTTTTAATTGTACACAAGTCCAGTATTATTGTACATAGTCCAATATGTACTGTATTTACTGTACACAAGTCCAGTATTTACTGAACACAAATCCAGTATTATTGTACATAGTCCAGTTTTTACTGTACATGTCAAGTATTAGTTACATCTCATCCAAAAAAGTAACTCAAGTGGCAGTCAAAATCAAAAATCCAATGCTTTGTTGACAACCTCTCGGAGTTGTGTCCCTTTCTGCACATCTTGTTTCGCTAGAACACGACGGAACATGATTGGACAGTCCAGCGATACGCATGGCTGATTCTCATCCTGAGCTCCCATACAAGTATTACACACCTACAAAGGAAATTGTTAATTTTTTTAATTTTGTAAGAAAAATTCCAATATATAAAACTTTTTTTTTTTCAACAATATCAAATTTGTGTCACACGCTAACTTTAACTTGTAATACATTGAACACTTTCCATGATCCTGGATACAGGGCACTTTACATTAATATATCTAACAAGAAGAAAACAGACTACCGGGGTATAATATATTTGCAAGATGGCATTAAGCTAATAAAGAAGACAATAAATTTGATGAAGAAAAGATGTCACTTATGTGTTTCTTTTTTAATTTTTTATTTCCAGCATTTGAACATTCAGACTGGGTCAGATAGAGCCATATATGTCTCAAACTGTTAATGGTTTGTGGAGAGCATAGCAGACCAAGAAACATAAGCCTCCAAACATGTGAACCTAAAGGTCCTACTTAATGAAGGCTTAGGACATAAGATTTCCCACAATAAATAACAGAGTTTACATCATTTTCTTTGAATCAATAAGCTATGTACCTTGACCAGGTCAGAGTAGACCTTCTCCCATTTCCTGATCCTATCACAGAGGGTGACACAAACATTCTGAGGGTCCTTAATACAGCTGTTACAGATCGCCTGATTGGTCTGTCTGTCACACACAGGACAATTGGTGGCTGAGAAGTACTGAGAAATAGTTCCCTTCTTCTGGTCAGGAGCAAGGAGAGCAGACGGCACGACTCGCACAACTTTTGGCATGTCATTATACCTACAGAGTGGAGAAGGAAACCGTTAAGGAAAACAAAGTACAGCTTTAGATTTATCTTATAATGCATATCACAAACAGGATATGTCAGTTAAAGAATCTACATACAGTGTATATAGTGCTATAAAAAATGATTAAAACACTTGACTACCATAAATTTTGATGTACACTAACAGCATATGTGAGGAAAACCTACACGGACGTAACTAAGCAATGACTATACATGCATTTAAAGCACTTTTTGTCTGCTATGAATTGAATAAGTTATATACTATTAGAGTAAAACCAAATACATAAAGAAACTTGGCTGGATATGAAGTAAATTAATAATTATGCAAATAATCTTGTGTTGAAAAAATGCGCTAAATTTTGAGTTGCTTTATGATGTACATGTATGTTTGTTATTTTACATTACTGGTATCGTACCATGTCCACCCCGAGGACAGAGAGAAGAGTCTTACCATGAGAAGACGTCGACCCCGATGAGAGAGAAGAGTCGGTCTAGTGGTGGCAGGATCTGTTTGGTGATGTAATACGTGGCATTCAGTCTCAGGGACGGGTCAGCGAGGACCTCGTGTGGCTGTCGTACTAACTGTATCAGCGGAAGTCCTGGACTGCCGTAAATAATTACGTACGGAACTCGCTCCCCGGTACGCGGCTCCGCTCGTCTGTCGTGTCTCAGTAACTTCCTACAATATTCACATTATCTCATGTAAACATACATAAAATTACAGAATTTAAACGATACTGAAAATAACATCACAACTGTATTTCTTAAAATTCAGTAGAGCCAATGAGCAAAAATTGAAAGTTTTTATTTAATGATTACATTTTGCAGATACTAGTCATAACATAACATATACTTGATCTGAAATTTTACACATTTCCTTCTCAAATTAATTTTATAACTTAGAGAAATACAATGTTTAAGCCTGCTTGATATTTCTGCTCCAATTGACTCCCCTCCTATGACTCTAGACTTACTTGGCAATCTCCAGGGCCGGTACACAAGCTCCAGGTTTATAACCCTTCATTCCGCGGTACTCCTTGGCAAATATACAGTCCTGCATGCTGACTTTTCCTTCCATGAACTTCTGGCACTGACGTAATACATAGTCCTTCACTTTAGATACATCCTTACATCCAAACAGAATCTTAATAGAACGCTCCAGAATCTACAACAATATGAAGATATTAAATTACAACCTAAGCCGTTAACCTCCCTTTGTTAGAAAAATCTCACATGTATACTACACTGTCTGTTACCTTGGATACGGCTGAACACGAGTCTCGTCGGACTGTCTCGATACCCTTGGCGTCAAACACGGGTTCCTTCTGGTCCACGGTCTCGTAACTGTAACCCACGTATCGCTTCTTTGTTTGTAAGACACACGGGTAATATACCTGGGGACAGAGAATATGCAATGAAAATGTGTAAAGCTGACTTAGGTATAAATCTGATGGCAGAGAATACACACGGTACATCTGTAAAAATGACAAAGATTAAACAAAACAAACATCATCTTCAGTAAAAACAATTGTGATGAATTGCTTTGGTTAGTCCGAGTCACCTCTGTATTTCTTATCATGACTATAATTCAATTTTATTTTAACTCATTACCTTGATTATTTTGTTAACAATAAATGACTTCTTTGTATGCCGACATTAGCCGTAAGCAATTTTTTTTAAACAAAGTTAACGATTGTTCACAAACATTTTATACACTGAATGGTTTTTCAACAGATCTGACATAACTGGTATACCTTTTCAACAAATCTGACATAACTGGTATACCTTTTCAAACTTCAGTTTGATTGGCTTCGGGTTCATAGCTGTTACAGCATCACAGATTTCATGTCCAATGGTGAAGGCCTCTTCTTTACTTTTACCCTTCATCTCAATAAACATACTGTAAGACAAAAATCAATATGTTGAAACACCAAAATGAACATGTTATAACACCAAAATGAACATGCTGCAACACAGATATAAAAATACTGTAACACAGAAATAAATGTGACCCCACCCCCCAAACTCTGTTAGATGATAATATACCTGTCCGTGTCACCATAGACAACTCGCGCCCCCCACTCCGGCCTATCCTCCACCAATCGGATCGCTCGTTCCAGGGTCTCTCGAGCCTTCCTCACAATGCTGTCCCCAACCTGTATATATAAAACAGATTCATGTTTACTTGAATCTTGTAATTTTTAAAAAAAAGAATGTGTTTTACCCTGTGTAATATAAAGACTGTCCCCAGAAAAGCTGCAAAATTTCAATTCTATCAAAATTCCTATTCTATAACAACATAATGTTCAATTTCTGCCTTTACTTGCATATTACAATGTACAAATATGAACACTTCACTTTCAATTACACATACTTATGCACAGATATGTAATATACAATCATGTACATTTAAATACATGCAAACACTCCAAGTAATTTACCTCAATACATGGCATTCTCCCTGAGAAGTTAGCCCCTGTGTAACCATATGTAACGTTGGCAATGAGTTTGAGTCCCATTTGTCGAGCGTCCAGAAGGCGATACAATCCTTTATCATCTTTATGCTCCTTCATCGATTTCTTCACCATAATACGAGTGTTCAGAATCTCTTCAACCATTCTGTCCAGAGATAAAACAGAATTAGAATATTGGTGAGTAAATTTGCTTCCTTTTTTTGGTATGAGATGTGTATGATGTGGGAATTATAAGGTTACTTAAAAACCTTCAGGTACATGTATGTTCCTTATCAAACAGTTACCAGACAAAACATACTTTGTTTCTTGATAAAAATTTACCAAGAAGAGTTATGGCCCTTGTCACATTTAGGGAAGTGAACAGCATAGGACATTAGTACAACATTGATACAACACTGGACAGTGAACTTACTTGGAGATGATCCCTTTTCTGACATGCTCCTTAACAAACACAACTCCATTGGGAGACACAGTTACGTCATTCTTTATTCTCTGAAAAGTCAATAACATACAATTAAATCAAAAACATTTACTTTGTCTCATAAAAAAGATTTCAGTGGATACATTCAAGGACAAAAGTTAAACGAACTTACATTAAGGGTTTTAGGAGAGATACGCAGATGAGTACATCCAAACTCTATTGGGCCCTCACTACAATGAAAATACACCCAATGTAAACAGTACCGGTATTATATCAGAGGGCATTAAAGCCAGTTACACTGCTGACTGCAGTACAGTACTGTATTAAAGTTATCTATTTACTGGGCTGTCCCCACTGTTATTCATAGGAGAGTACAGTGTAATAGTTATCTACTTACTGGGCTGTCCCCACAAATAGTTGCAGTACAGTACTGTGTAAAAGTTATCTACTTACTGGGCTGACTCCAGGAAGTCCAGTCTGCCCACACAGGTGGAGAAGCAGTAGTTGTACGCAATCATAATGGAGGGATACAGGGACTGGAAGTCAAGGACAACTACAGGGTTGGCATAGAAACGAGACTCGGGCTCCAGGGTCAGGGGGATACACTCGGGGGCCCTCATACGGGCTCTCTGCTGAACGCTGGGGGAGGCCGGAATAAAATTCATAGGTTTGGCTAACCTCAACATCATAGACTCCACACGGTACTGCAAATTAATTACACTAATCGATTAACATTATACACTCCACACCATACTGGAAATCAAAATGTAGATGGTTTACACCAACAGTTCAGGAATCAATTAACTCCGAGTCAATCTGGTTAGTTTCATATTTACAAACAAATTTAAGTTATCAAACAAACCTGTGAGCCTCTGGAGAGAACATGGTAAAACTCGATCCCGAATACTCGAGCAAACTCACTCGTCCTCCCAATCAAGTCCAGCTGGTCTATGATTTTTAAGTTACTCTGTACTCGAATTAAGTAGTACCTGATGAAGCGCCACCTACAGGTGAAATCAAAAGAATGAAAATCAGTGTAAATACAAATTATCATTCAAATGTATGCATCTCCTTAACATGCTATACAATTAAGACAATGTAGAGTACACTACACACAAATCTACATTCGATGTTTTTATATTGTGAAATCATGCAGTTTCTTGATATTATGCAGTGTGAAAAATTTAGTAGGGTTGAGATCTTTACCTGTACAGATGTGTTCTGTGTTTGAACCAGGAGTTGAGGGTCTGGAAGCTGTAATGGGGCACCCTCTTGTGAATCACATGGTGGGCTATATTCTCAAATGTGTAAATGTTCAGCGTCACCTAAAATACACAGAACATCAAGTAAATGAAATGTCGAAAGACTTCAGAAGGTTCTGCTTTTGAAAATTGACATACATTTTTTTCTTCTCTCGTTTTACAGATTAATTGGGTTAAAATTCATATATTCAGACAAGTAATGAATTTCTACTGACCAAGACTCAAGATCAGCTGACCTATAGTGTATCTTATACTGAATACAAGACACACCCTCCCCCGTTCTACCCCTTCATCTCAAGTCAGACAAAACATGATGTCCCACCTAACTTTCTATGACCTTTCTCCCCCTTCCTTTCTTGTCACACAAAACATGACATCCCTTCTTCCTTTCTACCCCTTCCTCTCAGGTCAGACACACCACACCCTGTACACACCTCATGTCTTAGGATCCTCCACAGATTCAGGATGATACGTCCAGCGAGGTGGATCTCAGAGGAGTGGTCCGCTCCCCATTCATCACTCTCCGCCTTAAAACTGCTCTTCTTCTTCTCATCTTAACAAATCAAAGCGACTCATAAATGCATAAATTTAATATCTTACTTTCTAATATGTCTGGGGAAAAATATTTTTACTCTTGTAAATTTTCAATTTTTTAGTCATATGGAATATCAAAGTTGCCTGCTATAAAATCAGGATAATTGCAATCGAGATACAAGGTGAAAACACTCAAATCAACTTTGTTTCTATCTGTTTATGAATGTTTTTACTTACTGCCAATAATGAAATGTCAATTATCTTGTAGATACCTTTATTAGGAATATTAAGGAGATAATTCAGATTTGACATTCCATTAAATTCTAGAGGGTTAAGGGTATATTACCAGGTATCCTAGACATCTGAGCACACAGGTTCACATTGAGATGTGATATCTGATATTACCTGGTATCCTTGACATCTGAGCACACAGGTTCACATTGAGATGTGATATCTGATATTACCTGGTATCCTTGACATCTGAGCACACAGGTTCACATTGAGATGTGATATCTGATATTACCTGGTATCCTTGACATCTGAGCACACAGGTTCACATTGAGATGTGATATCTGATATTACCAGGTATCCTAGACATCTGAGCACACAGGTTCACATTGAGATGTGATATCTGATATTACCTGGTATCCTTGACATCTGAGCACACAGGTTAACACTGAGATGTGAGGCTCGCTGTAACAGGTAACCCCAGGACAACTTCTGAATCTCAAACCCGACCAGAATATCAGGGTCCCACCTAAAACAGAAAATAGAGAGTTTATAGTTATTGTAGATCTGCTTTTAGATTTTTGAAGAACAAATTGAATTGTAGATGTTCTAATTCAAGGTAATGAAGACCATTAAAAAATCCTCATCACATCATTTTGTATAGAAATGTTGCTAATAAATAGATTTTAAAGTAAGGTTATAAATTTACAATTCAGTTAGAAAGCTTATACTACATAAGAAATCTTAAAACACTAGAGAGCCACTTTTAGAGTTCAGTAAATCAATGAGTCAAGTAAATATATATCGCAAGAAAATTTTGAAATAAGATATAAAATAATTTTCATTTTGTAAAAGTACAAGTATTTACAAGTTTATAACTAATATTCTAGAGCAGGAGAACTCTTGATTTCTTACTTGGAGAACAACTTGAGGACTTCTTGAAACAGTTCCTCTTCATTTTCCACGTAAGTGACTTCTAAGTCTTCATTCACCCCGGATTTCTGCAGCACTGTGTCTTCTATCTCCGACGCCTTGGGGATCTTTCGCACTGGTTTGGGGGAGGGGCTTCGTGACCTTGACCTTTTCCCTTTCTGTGACGGAGCAGGGTGACTTGATGTGGAGGGTTGTGGGGAGGGGGCTCGCTGGTAGGAGGTTGAAGGTTGATCGGATGACCTGACCTTTGACCCTGTGTCATGCGACGTGGAGGGCTGTGGAGATGTGGGTTGGGTGACGGTTGATTTCTTACTATTTTTCGCGGCTTCCTGGCTTTCCTTGGACTTCCTGTCCACCAGAATGACCCCGGTGATGTCACACTTTTTGTCCTCCGCAGACACGTCATTGAAAATGTTGTAGAAGACGGCGAGGATGGGGTCAATCTCGGGGTCAGGCATCAGGTCACGTCGCGTCTCTGCGTGTAGCTCCAGACTCATCACTGTCAGGTTCTGTACCTGGAGAAATATACAGGTTATTATATAAGATATATACATGTGTGTGTGTTTATGTTTTTGTATGTAACCTTTCTTTCAGAACTTTCTATATTGTCACTGTAAAAAAAAACCTTTATGCCTTCTGGGCCCAAATTTGGGAAATAAAATTATCTTATCTATAGGACTCAGTCAGCACATATCGGTGTCAGTTCTTTATTATTCACTATCAGCCAAACTTCCAGACATATTTAAAACAATGTGGCATTTAGAATTCTAACCATTATAAATCAAAACACTATATTCATATTAATATGAGGCTTGGAATTTCTAGAAACGACAAATCTAAATCACTTTAAATTTTAAATCTCCCATTACAACCAAAATCTTATGCTTAAGTATCTTTTCAAATTTATACTTTACTTCTATAGAGTAGTTCCTGCAAACTGAAATAGAGGGAAGACATAAAAAAGTAGAAGGGCCCTAACAGGGGGTTGAGAGGAATACTGAAGAAGTTCGGGGATTACGTCATAATAAATGGTAAAATTTAGAGAGCCCTAGGCTTAGGGACAACCCTGCTTCAGTAATTCAAGGAGTAAAACTGCAGCAATTATTTCTTTTAATGACAAAATCCTCACCTCGTGAAGTGCTTTTGCATCTTGGAAGTTGTGCTGACTGACTTTAAATCCAAACGAGTTCTTTGGGGTGGGGCCATCGATCTGAGACACATTCCCTTTAGAGTTTGTGGGGGTAGCCATATCCTGATAAGTAAACAAAATTTGTTAATTCTGTAAACTTTTCAGTAACATATCATTCATTTCTCTGCTTTTATCATTTGATTAAGATAAACAAGTATCTGAAAACACGTTTGTTCTTATTACAGAAACAGATGCTCAGGTCACTTTGGACAATTACAAATTACAAGTGTCAGAGGTCAAGAGTTTTAAAATTGGTTTATTTTCAATATTGTTTAAAAATGAACTTTTGCTTTTCAATTGAATAGAAAAATGGAAGGAATGGATGATCTTTCTTACCCTCATTTCAGCTGAGGACATCAGTGATCGTCTAGGATCTCCTTTTTCTACCGACTGTTTCCTGGGTAATGTTACTCTACGTGGGGTCTGAAATTCTCCAGAAGTCTCTTCACTTAATCTAACTTTCTTGTCTGCATCTACATTGCCAGAGATTGGAGTCACATCGATTCCCTCTATCAGAGATTTTTGATCCCGTGAAGATACTGGGGTGCTATGTGAGGAGCCAATCAAATTTCTCCGTACTAAGTCACATGACTGCTTTTTTGGGAGTGTTGCAGACGACATCTGGCTAAGCCTCATTCTGGATGTCAGGGATTTTCCCAGCTGTTGAGAGTCCTTCCTTATTGATCTTATCGTTGTTTTGGGTGGGGAGGGGCTGATGACGTCCGCTCGTCTTCTGAATGAGGACATGGCCTGCTGGGGAGGGGAGGGACTGATTATATCCTCATCGTCAGAGTCCGGGGATTTAAACACTGAGTCCGATTCCCTCTCTTGACAAGCTGGTGGTGTACTTTCTAAACACATACTTGTTTCACCATTATGTTTCACTGGGGAAAAACTGTCATCATCAACATGAAATATTTCAGTTGTCTCATTAAAGCTAACTTCTCTGGTAAGAAACCTTTGTTTTGGAGTTTCATTAATGTTTATACCTAAATCCTCCACTTTCTGCTGATGTGGGGTTAGTGTCACTATCTTAGTAAATTCCACAGATTTCCCATTTTCCTGTGAATCACTGCATTCTTTTCCTTTCTCTCGGGAGTCACTCTCCTGACTTTTCCCAGACTTTTCCTTCGTCTTCTGTTGCCTGTATAGTTCTTTCTTCTCTAACCAGGATCTCACGCGGGCCGGGGATGGGGCCTGTTTACAGGGTACCATGGTAACCAGTCGGTCACCGAGCACCGAGCATCGCAGGGTGTGGTCTCTTGTGATAGAGTCCATGAGGGTTTGATTGTCTGACTGTGAGGGCATGATGCGGTCAGTGGCGGCCAGGATTTGTCTGATTGTGGACAGTCCCTCACAGGCCACCGTGCCCAAGTATTCCATCAACCCTGTCATCTACAGAATACATAAAACATGTAATACAAACACTGAAGTTGAATCCTCACATTTCAAAAGTTATGTCCCTTATGTCATCTTTGGGGAAAAACTCATAGAATCCTCACAGCAGTCTTGATAGTTTTCTGGTTTGTAACTTTTTCACCTGACTGGGAAAATTTAGTGCATCTTGTATAATGATTGCCCCAAGATGGAGCTACCCATATAATGAAAGAAAAAATTTAATCACTGTGGATTTATCGGAGCACGCCCAAATGTTTAGTACTGTAGCATAAAGAGGAGAAATGTCATTTCTTTTCCTTTTGGTTGACCCTGCAAAGGGACATAACTATTGCAAAGTGTGGATTATTAGTTAATGTACAATATTCATGTAATACATACACTATTGGTTAATGTACTATCTCATTCCCTGTAGATATATGCATTCAATGATAATTCATCTTGTTAAAATTTTGAAAAGGTTTATATTTTTTACAGAAATTGAGCTATTTACATTATAATTTTTTTTATGCACTGCACATCATTTAATTGCGAGTAAGAAAGAGAATACTAGTATAAATGAAACCATTCTGACAAATAAAGAAAATACTTGAATCTATTAACAAGAGGCCCAGGGGCCACAGCGCTCACCTGAGCACAACGGCTAGGAAAAAGCATATATCAGATCAGAAATGAAAGTTTACTGAGTTTGGAGAGGGGGGGGGCTTAAATCTTGACCCCCAGGGGGTCATGATTTGAACAAACTAGAATCTACACTACCTGAGGATGATTTCATATAAATTCACAATCATGGCTTTGAAGGAGATTTTAAAAGATTTCCCTATATATTCTTAAGACAAGAGGCCCTAGGGCCTTATAGGTCACCTGAGTATCATGTAACAACTTTCCAGCGATTGTATTTGGTTCGTGTTTTAATCCAAAAGCCATGAAATTCACAAATTTTGAAAGAGGCACCATTGCTTATCAAAGAGCAGATTTCAAAGCATTAATTCATTTTTAGTCAAAGTACCCCCATGGTACCCCTGACCCAGTGGCCCTGAATTTATCGATTTTGAAAGAGGCCCCTCTCTTCATTATAAGGCCAGCATTTTTTTTTATCTTTAGGTTTAGTTATGAACATAAGAATAAAAAAGTCCCGAAGGAGAAGGAAATAAAAAAAAAATTTTGATAAATCAATTATAACAATTAGTACATTCTTTTTTTAAGCTATTCTAATAGGCTCCTTACCACTGGACACATAATGCTTACAAATAGGAAAGTAGAACATTTAATTGCTTATTTCATCATCCGCCAGTTTGGGCCAGTTATATAAATTTTGTGATGTTGGTCAAAATATATTTTAAAAAATCAATTCTTTAAAAGTCTTTCAATATATCTTCATTTTTTTAATATGTGTTAGGTGAATGTGTAGACATTGTTCTAAAATTTACTTGATGCCTAAAATTATAATTCCTATCATAAAACAGACAGGGAGTATTGGGGAGTAGGGTGAACATTTTTTCAATTAAGTGTAAAATAATTTCTCTGGCTGATACAAATGATACTACATGCCTGTATATATTTGTATATTCTTGCCTTTTAATAGTTAATTTTTTTTTTATTTCTTCAGGTTATTGTTCATTTCTTCCTCAAATGGACTTAACTTCTCCCATAGTTTTATTCATTACATCTGATGCATAAGCAACCCTTATCTGAAGAATGATGCTTAGACTGTAAGCTATAACAGAGACCTAAACAATGTCGCTGGCAATATGCAATAGATACCACGTACGGGCAGTTTAAAACCTGGGGGAGGAAAATAATTTACAGACAGATATAGATACTTTTGAAACAAATACATAATTATCTCACCAGCAAGTCATTGTGCAACAAAGTCGTCAGCATTTTATTTGTCCTTTGAACGGGTGAAACGTTTTGAATGGCACTCGTATCGATGAATTTTACACTAAACCAAGCTAGCTTTATTTACCCGCCGTTTCATCTTAAAACCGGAAGTGCGAGTTCGTAAATTTGAAATCTCGATCCCGACTCATATTTGACCATCGGGGAAAAAATTTTTATTTTTTTTTCTGAAAATTCAAAACCTTGAGCGGAGGATTTGTACAACTGAAAATAAAATAAATCCTGGCCTTAAATATGTAATTAGATCATTAGCATATTAACCAGGAGCAAAGGATAAGATGTTCAAAGAATTCGTGCAATTCACTATATAATCATTAGAGCCCCACCCTAAAACAAGAACCCCTGACCCTGGGGCCATGAAATTCACAATTTTGGTAGAGGCACTCTTGCTCATCATAACTATGTACTTAGTTAGTTTATTTAATACCCAGGAGCAGATAGGAAGATTTTCAAAGAAATAATGTATTTTCACTATATAATCAATAGAGCCCCACCCTAACACCAGAACCCCTGACCCTGGGGCCATAAAATTCACAATTTTGGTAGAGGCACTCTTGCTCATCATTACTATGTACTTTGTTGGTTTACTTAATACCCAGGAGCAGAGAAGAAGATTTTCAAAGAAATAATGCATTTTCACTACCTACTTATTTAGCCCCGCCCTAGCACTAGAACCCCTGACCCCAGGGCCATGAATTTCACAATTTTGGTAGAGGACTCATTGCTGATTACAATCATGCAAACAGTTTGATTGCTTGATGTCCAGGAGTAAAGAAGAAGATTTTTAAAGATTGCATTAATTTTAGTGGTTTTGGCCCCACCCCTCAGGCCCCAGGGGGGCAAGGATCATGAAATTCACAATTTTTGTTCCCCTTCACCCATAGATGCTTTGTGCCAAATTTGGTTGAAATTGGTTAAGTGGTTGCAGAGAAGAAGCTGAAAATGTTCAAATGTTAACGCACGACGAACGACGCACGACGAACGACGACGGACGAAAACAGATAGCAATAGGTCACCTGAGTTTACTCAGGTGACCTAAAAAAATTTGATCGGCCATTTTGGCCCCACCCTACCCCCGGGGGTCATGATTTGAACAAACTTGAATCTACACTACCTGAGGATGATTCCACACGAGTTTCATCTTTCCTGGCCCAGTGGTTATTGAGAAGAAGATTTTTTTAAAATGCCATTAATTTTTCTCTAATTCATAATTATCTCCCCTTGGAAAAGGGCGTGGCCCTTCATTTGAACAAACTTGAATCCCCTTCACCCAAGGATACTTTGTGGCAAGTTTGATCGAAATTGGCCCAGTGGTTCTTGAGGAGAAGATGAAAATGTGAAAAGTTTACGACGACGACAACAGACAATCGACAAATTTTGATCAGAAAAGCTCACTTGAGTTCGGCTCAGGTGAGCTAACAAGAGGCCCACGGGCCTTATAGGTCACCTGAGCATCATGCAACAACTTTCAGATGATTGAATTTGTTTCATGTTTTAAGCTAGATGCTTAGGCATTCACAATTTTGGAAGAGGCACTCTTGCTCAACATAACTATGTACTTAGTTAGTTTATTTAAAACCTATGAGCAGAGAAGAAGATTTTCAAAGATTTAATGCATTTTCACTATATAATCAATAGAGCCCCGCCCTAACACCAGAACCTCTGACCCTGGGGCCATAAAATTCACAATTTTGGTAGAGGCACTCTTGCTCATTATAACTATGTACTTAGTTAGTTTATTTAAAACCTAGGAGCAGAGAAGATTTTCAAAGATTTAATGCATTTTCACTATAATCAATAGAGCCCCGCCCTAACACCAGAACCCCAGACCCTGGGGCCATGAATTTCAGAATTTTGGTAGAGGCACTCTTGCTCATCATAATTATTTACTGAATTAGTGTATTTAATACGTAGGAGCAGAGAAGAAGATTTTCAAAGATTTAATGCATTTTCAATAAATAATCAATATAGAGCCCCACCCTAACACCAGAACCCCTGACCCTGGGGCCATAAAATTCACAATTTATGAAGATACACTCTTGCTCATCATAACTATGTGCTTAATTAGTTTATTTAATACTCAGGAACAGAGAAGAAGATTTTCAAAGAAATAATGCATTTTCACTATATAATCAATAGAGCCCCGCCCTAACACCAGAACCCCAGACCCTGGGGCCATAAAATTCATAAATTTGGTAGAGCCACTCTTGCTCATCATAACTATGAACTTAATTTGTTTATTTAATACCCAGGAGCAGAGAAGAAGATTTTTAAAGACTTACTGCATTTTCACTATATAATCAATAGAGCCCCGCCCTAACACCAGAACCCCTGACCCTGGGGCCATGAATTTCACAATTTTGGTAGAGGACTCAATGCTGATTACAATCATACCAACAGTTTGACTGCTTGATGTCCGGGAGTAAAGAAGAAGATTTTTAAAGATTGCACTATTTTTAGTGGTTTTTGCCCCCTCCCCCAGGCCCCAGGGGAGCGGGGACCACCAAATTCACAATTTTTGTTCCCCTTCACCCATAGATGCTATATGCCAAATTTGGTTGAAATTGGTTCAGTGGTTTCAGAGAAGAAGCTAAAAATGTTTAAATGTTAACGCACGACGCACGACGGACGACGACGGACAAAAACGGATAGCAATAGGTCACCTGAGTTTACTCAGGTGACCTAAAAATTCTAAAATTAAGTAATTATTTTCCTTATGAATTAGTCATTAAGTTGTTAAACTAATGTCAAACAAGATAGAAAAAGAGGTTTTCAAAAAGCAAACTAAAGAAAAAATACAAAAAAATGTTTAGTACAGAGTAAAATATTTTTAATATGTAATATAGAAAGATCTATGCAAAATAACATTACACTAAAGTCCTAGTTTAAAGGGAAAAACTAATAATGCAATGATGTGTGCAAGAAAATGACTGAATGTGAGGAAGAAAAAATCATTTAAGTCCCAAAAAGAATTAAAAGTGCTCACCCTATTGGACTGTAGAGTTAGGATTCTCCCACCCACCTCCCTACAACACACATAAAATGCCTTTATATAATTATATTTTATACACTGTACCTTACCAATATGGATTCAAGTTCAAGATAAATATCAAATTATCTATTTTTTATAAATTGAATAATTTTTACTTTTATAAACCTACAAAAAAATTTCCTATTTTGACACACCAAGTATTTTATGTCTTGTTAAAATTAAATTATTTTTCATACGCTTTTAAAAAAAATATATATAGTTTTAATTTAAAAATATTTGTTGACAAGAAAAGGGGATATAATTCTTGCTTCAAATAAAAAAAAAGAAGAAGCCTGTAACATTTAATTTTGATTTGCACTTACCTTGGTTTTTCGGGTACGTCATCAGCGTTGCTACAGAAGGCCTCCTGGTGAATGACGGTGTGAAGTCCGTACTGCCCTGCCGTCTCCTCCACCCTCAGTCTAGTGGGCGGGGCTTCCCTTGGTCTCAGGACTCTCCTCCTGGGCGGTGACAACGATCGGAACATTTTCTGTCCGTGCCCCTGTGGAGGAGATGGTCTCCTTTTCCTGGTTATCTTCTCCTGGTTTCTATGACACCCGTCCGGTTGCTGGGTACCTCGGTCGATACTAGACTGATCCTCCACCTGAGTTTCCCCGGTCCCTGGCTTTGGCAGACTTTTCTCTTCGGTCCCTTTCATTGTTCTGTGGTTAGCCATGGACATGATGATTTCTGATCCATTAACTACTGGCATTCTCTCTTCATTCTGTTCTGATTCACGAACTTCCAGCAAATCAGGAGTTCCACTTTCTTCGGAATCCATAAATTGGTCGTTTCTGACAAGGTTGGGTGGACTTTTGGAATCCTCCTTGGTATATTTCCCGTACTTTTGAATGATTGGGGGGCCCAGGTCTGGGGGGGAGAAGCTCTCGTTGTCACTGACCACAGGGACATTCTCCTTCCCAGAGCAGATGGTCCTAAAGCAGTACCGCTTTATCTCTCGCTCTGTTAAAGGCTGTAACTTCACAACTGCCTTACGTTTGAAATGTAAAGGTCCAATTTTAGATCCTCTGGGATATGTACCTTTATTTGTCACATTGAATACCAGTTCTGTTGTTAATTTCTCTGGAATAAAACCCTTACATTGATCCTCATTAGTTCTGGTCTGTAAATCTGTCTGGGATGAGGATTTCAATGAAATACGGTCAGCATTAACACAAAGCTCCTGAGATGACCCCTCATTCTGTTTCTTTCTGAATTCCACATTTTGAACTTGAACATCTCTGTCCTTTACTTCCTCTGCATCTCTTTTAAGCTCATCTGCCTTGTTAAAACAGCATTCATTTTCTGTTCTTTCTTCAACAATTTGATTGCTTAAGTCCAAGTCACTTAAACTCAGAGAGGAGACTTTCTTTACAGGGGATACATTAACACTCACCAACTGTGATGACTTGATTGGTGAATAAACTGGTGACCTGCTCTCCTCATCAGACATCAAAGCTTGGTGTAGATCATTAAACACGTTAGTTTTCTCTGGTGAGGAATCAATGTCTCCGAGATCTGTCGGGCTGTAGGGTCGGGGAGGGGACTTTTCTAGTTCCTCGGGGGGTGGGGGTGAATAAAGAGACATAGTATACAGGGCGTCGTCATACTTAGTTCTGTAGTCATCAGTCGCGTCGCAGTAAGATGGAGCCACGTCCATCAGATTAGCCAGGGTGGCCTGATGCAGCACAGACAGACTCGTCATCAGTTTACCTGAGTGAGATCGAGATCGTCTCTTCCTGGCCCTGTAACTCGCTCCGTTAAAGGCTGTATGAATTTTACGACTCTTGCTTAACTTTTTCTTCTTCTTGACATATTTAGTAGTAGTTTTGGCTGGCCTGCTGTTTACAGAGTTTTCTTCACAACTGTCTTTCCCATCGTCCATTTCATCATTATCATCATCATTATCGTCAATATCATTGTCTATAAATATCACAGAATCATGAGACGTCCAGTCACTGTTTATCACGGGCTGTAGATCTAGACCAGGCGTTTCCCCCTCGTCCTCCGAGCTGCTTATCTCGATCACGTCATCGTTTGGTCGGCTTCTTCTTAACAGGGACAAGCGGCTTTTTCTCGGCTGAAAATAAGTGGAATCTTTGGATGAATCATCAGAAACTATATTTCCAAAAAATTTTGAGTCTTGTAAGGATTTAAATTTTTCGAAGATATTGTCACAAAACAATTCATGAGCGGCCATCTCTGGCGCTTGAACAGTTTTGTTCTGACTTAATCCATTTTTCTGAAAGAGTGAGTTAAATGAGAAATCTTGAGATAATTTGACTACAGTTCCATTTGATATATTTAATTTTTTTAGCTGAACTGTCATTTTTTTATGACCTTTGAACTTTCCTGTTACTAAGTAATCCACACCTGGTATTTCCTGTTTCCTCTTTCTTTCTCTACGGTCAATTCGAACAGATTTCCTCGTTTTTTCATTATCAGACTCACTCAATTTCTTGTTTTTTGATTTTTCCACCTTTGCTTGCTTTCTGCAGCTACTGTCACTAGAAGACCTTGACCTTGTCATATGACCTTCAAATTGTGAGGTTTTTCTGCTGTCCTCTGACTCAGGGAGTCTTTTGTTGTCCGAAGCAGGCAGCATATTTTCTAGGTCTGAGCTCTTGTTACTTGGGGGACCACTTTCCGCACTGGATTCCTGTGAGGGAGACTGAACACATTTCTCATTCGTTTTCTGAGCTGTTGGGTTATTTTCCACACTTGATTCCAGTGACAGAGATTGGAAACCTTTATCATTCGTTTTTTGAGCTGTAGGATTTTTCTCCACAGTTAAATCTTGTGAGGGAGAGTGAACACATTTCTCATTTGAATTCTGAGCTGTAGGGTTTTTCTCCACAGTTAAATCCTGAGGAGGAGACTGATCACATTTCTCATTTGTTTCCTTATTCTCAACAAAAGAAAAATTAAGACTGTCTTTTGCTGTATCAGTCTGCCTGTTTTCACTAGGATTAGCTTCATTCAAGTCCACCAAGGAGGAATCTTCTGCATTTCCCACATTTTTCTGTGATAAAGTTGATTGACTTTCATTTTTTCTATCACTAGAAAGATCTGGCATTGAATCTGACTTTTTGTGCAATGTTGATGACTGCTCTGAACATTTCCCACTATCAGTTTTGTCCTCCATTTCTGCTGCTGCCTGGACAGACAGCTGGGAATCTGATGAGGACTGAGATTCTGTTAAGTCTATGATGTTTGTTTGTGGTGAGGCACATACCTTCACCTGGAACGTTTCCACTTCATTATTTCCACAGTAACCACTCAGCTCTCCTTCCTTGTCTAAATCTTCATCTGGATCTTTCTGAGAATCCATCTCTTCTAGATCTAACTGACTGTCCATCTCCTCTTTTCCTGAATCTTTCAAGTTATCTAAATCTTTCTGAATATTCACATCCTCTGGATTTTTCTGATTATCCACCTCTTCTCTCTCTGAATCGTTATCTGGATCTTTCTGACAATCCTCTCTCTCTGATGTGGAGGTGTCTGTGTCCTCGGAGCTGCTCTTGATTCGCGGATCGAGGACGTCGGAATCAAACAGCCTGTAGGTCTCTCCCGGTGGCTGAGGCCTTATGGGACTTCTACCAGTGATCGGTGTCCGGGATTGAACCGGAGTGTTCGAACCATCCGAGGCTTCTGTCAGGCTCACATCCTTTAGAACAGGATCAGGTAACTCCTCCTTATCTGGATCAATCACCAGGGGGAGCTTTTTATGAAGCTTTAGCAGCTTTTTCTTTCGTGCAGCTTTACTCACAGAGACTTTTAGCTGACTGGGTCCATGTCCGTTCTTCCTGTACTTCTCGTCCACAGGTACTGGCATGTCAGTGGCCTGCTGGAGGTATTTAAAGAACTGGTCCTGATACATCCCTCCCTTCTGTTTGGGCTGATCCTCTCTCCCACCCTGTGTCTGGATGATGCTTGGACTCGGCTGATCTGGTTCCTGTCCTACTTTCAGTTCCTCTTCCTCGCAGCCTGTGGTCATGGGTTGATAGTCCTCCTCAGACGACAGAGAGCTGAAGGCCTTGTCAATGATGGAAGCCAGGGTGATTTTTTGTATGGGTTGGGGCCCATAAGTCTTGTCATCTACACACCAAAGATCTGAGAAAGTTCTTTCTCTTTCAGCCACCAGTTTTGTGGCTCCTTTTGACTTGGCCACTTCTACTCTCAGTTCTTCATAACTTGGGTATTTCTTACTCCTATCCACAGTAGGCACAGTGTTTCTCCTTTGAAGAGGCTTTTTAAGGACCTTAGACTTTACTTTACTTTGTTCAGTGGGTTTCACTTTTTCCAATTCCTTGTCTGAAAGCTTCTTCAGTTTTACCACTTCCCTTCCAATTTTCAACAAACTGTATCTACGGGCATCCATAGGATGCATACGAACAATCTTAACTCCTTCCCTGGGTGGACGGTGTTTCAGCTGAATGTAATTAACTTTCTTGTAGACCGGGGCTGGGACAGTGAAGGAGTAGGTATACTTAGAGGGCTGTAGTGGAATAGCAGGGACTGGTATCTTCCGAGGTCGGCCTCGCTTTCTCTTCACAGCCTCCACAACTTTCTGAGGAGCGGGTGTGCTGAAGGATCGCACCAAGGAAGGCCTGTTGACTGACTTCTGCTTCAGGGACTTTGTGAACTCTGTCCTATTGCTACTGGAACTTGAGGTAGACATTGTTCTCGCTCGAGCTGAGAACTCTGCGTTTGAGACAGGAGCGGCCACTGGATTACTAGACATAGACAAAGCCCTGTCTCTGCTCACTCCATCCGAGTTAACAACAGGGCAGTTACCTGGGACACTCGACAATGAAGGTCTGTTACTGATCATCACCTCAGCACCAGGGGTAGGAACGTGACTAGCAGTATTCGACATGGATCTGCCTGAACATTCAACATAAGGCATGGAATGGTGACTGATGGAGTCAGACAATGACAAAGTTCTTTCTCTGCCAGGAGTGACCATGCCAGGCATTGGAGTATATCCACCAACACTAGGGGTGGAAAATCTCCTGGGTGGAGTTTCTTTTGCAGACAATGAATTCTTTTTCCGGGACTCTGTTTCCACTTTACTCCTGATGAGTTCAGACACATTTGTGGGTTTTCTGATGGGGATTTCACTCTCATTAGTCCTCTCTACATCACCCTCTGTGTCTGGAGACTCCAATAAACCAATATTCTTTTGAATGTAACTCTGAAGTTCAGCTTCTGAGCATGAGTATGGTTTGCCGTCGGTCGCGATCTGACGGACGTCATGACCAAACTGAGTCTTCTGGGAAACGTTTGTCACCAAGTCCTGCAGACTGAAGAGTGAACCTTGAGGATTTAATGTCCCTCTCTGTGGCCATTTATCACTCTCTGGAGTTTTCTCTCTAAACGGAGATAAATAATGTGTTAAGCTAGAATTTGCCATCTGTGGTTGGCCTGCAGCCTGGCTAGATGAGGGTAAAGATGAATTATAAACTCCTTTTGGTGTTGGATGGATAAAATTTGTTTCTGGAGGTGAAATTTTGGCAACAGCTGTAGTCTGCTGCACTGAACTACCAACAGAAAGTTTCAGAATGTTTGTGTCACCAGAGGAATGGAATGCTGATTTTGAGGACAAGTTTTTGGAGGGAGTACTTGGAGCCTTAGATCCGGGTTCAGACTTTATGTTGTCACTTTCGTTTGTCATGAGGAGTTTCTCCAGGAGATTCCCGCCCCCAGGGATGGGACCCCGGGGCTGGAATGAGGTTGACCTCTCTAACACACTTCCTAGTGAGCTCCCCCCACTGGATTCCTTTTTCACAGTGGCAGAACTAATCACAGATTTTGGCGAAGATTTTCTACCAGGCTTTTTCTTTGTATTGCTTCCTGCAGAGCTGTCCTCCGATTTTTTCTTTGGACCTCTTCTTTTAGGAGTTTTAGGAGAATTACCCTCAGAAGTATTGCTGAAGCCAACATTGGGGTGATTATTATAATGAGTCACAGATTCACTCCAGTTAGTACTGTTAAAGCTGTTCTGAGAATCAATGAACTGGCCGTTAGATTGAGATCCCGGGTATGAATGTGATGAATATGAATTCTGAGAACTTTCACTGCCCTGTAATTTTGGCAAATACTGAGGAATTGATCCTGTTGAATAATCTGGGTGAGATCTTGGAAACTGTGATGTCACAGATAATGAACCACTAGAGGTATTCATGTTTGGCTGCACCCCGCTGGGGGCCCCATTGTATGCTCCACTCCCACCTGACGATGCGTACTGTGTCTGACTGAGATCACTACTTTCACCCCCTACATGTCTTTGATTACCAGGGAGTCTATTGGCACTATTAGAAACAGAACTCACATTCTTCACTGAAGTGAAATCACTTTGAGCACTGAAATTTCTGTTTGATAACACGCTGCTTTGAGATTGTGTAGAGCTATTCATTGGACTAGTTTGTGAATGATATGTTGAATGGGAACTAGAACAATTGTTTGGGTCAACTGGCTGAGAGAATCCTCCTTGCTGAGAAAACCCACTGAATTCTGGGTAATTCCCTTGAGAGGCCCCTCCCTGAGAACTTTGGAAAATTTGGTTGCCAGGTTGACTATAGTGAACTCCCAAAGGTTGATTTCCACCCTGGACATTCATGTTTATTTGGCTATTTTGAGACACCCCCATTGGAGTGGAGGTCATACCCTGCTGGTTTGGAGAGAACTGACTCAGCTGTCCTTGTGAAGAATTCAGGTCAGGCCCCCCTTGAGTACTGAAGTTTGGCTGACTCGGAGAATAAAACATCTGGTCAGTTGATTTTTGTGATAGTTGTCCATTACCACCACTACCCTGAGAAAGTGTGCCATCAGAATCACTCAATCCTCCGAACTCAGAGAAGTTCCACAGATTATTGGATAAAGTTTCGTCATTCATAAGAGCACTGAAGGAATCTCTGGACTCCATGACTGGGGGTTGGAAGCTCTGACCTTGACTCATGTTCTGAGGATTGAGAGAAGCATTGATATTCGGAGAGAGAGAATTAACACTTCCATGGGATGAATGTAAACTATCCCGGGAATTTCCAAGCTGAAAACCATGAGGTGACTGTAAACTTCCCTGGGAATTTACTTGCTGAAAACTCTGTGGTGACTGTAAACTGCCTTGAGAATTTCCAGGCAGTAAATTATGTGGCGATTGTAAATTTTCACGAGAGTTTCCAGGTTGTATATTTTGTGGTGACTGCAGAGTTCTTTGAGAATTTCCCAGCTGTAAACTGTGTGGGGATGATAAATTCTCCTGGGAATTTCCATGCTGTAAGCGATGTGGTGATTGTAAGCCATGCGGTGAATGTAAACCATGCGGTGACTGAATCCCATGCGGTGACTGAATTCCTTGTGGTGACTGAATCCCATGAGGTGAATGCACACCGCCCTGTGTTGCCTGTATTCCCGGTGAAGTCTGCATGTTGTGAGAAGATGAAAGTGTTGGCACTCCTTGTTGTGGCTGCCCTTGAGATGAAGTTAGTCCCTGTTGTGAGCGACCTTGAGGAGAGGTCGGCCCATAACCTCCCTGCTGTTGGTGACCTTGAGGTAAGGCCAATCCTTGTCCTTGACCTAGCTGAAGGTGGGATTGCTGAGTATTCCCATTCGGGGAGTTCATCATGTTCCAGTTCATCTGCTGATCCCAGCCCTGCCCTCCATAATCTGGTGTGGGATTACCACCACTATAGGTAGACTGCTGATTCCACATATTGTTGTAGTTGTAATTCCCATAATCCATGCCATAACCTTGACCTTGGTAGGGGTACTGGTTGCCATTAGAGAACTGATTATCGTTAGGTCTGTACATGTTCTGGGTCGGGTTGTTGTAGCCAGGAACAAAGGAGGTGGTCTGCTGAGCCTGCCTGGGAGCCGAGGATTTGTCAAACCCTGATATCACTGGACCTGTGGCTCCAAGTCTCTTCTTCTTGCTTTTTTTAGCTGAAGTGAAAAAAAAAATCATAAGCAATGATAAAGTTTAATAGGAACTTCAAAAGTCTAAAGCTGCAACATATTACACATCATCGTATAAATTTACTATACGGTGAGGGTACTTTAAACTCCTCATTTTTCGCGAGTACTTATTATCACGAAATAGCTCTTTAACGTCAAATCACGAGAATAGTTATTCATGAATGAACGATTGATCGGGAGAATTTACGTGAAATTTAGCACTATCAAAATAAAAGCGACTAACTTAATTTTGCTTTTAATGCTTCTCGCGAAATTACGCGATAATTCATTCCTCGCTAATAATTAGGAATCTACACATACTTAAACAAGAGGATGACAGTAAAGAGTAAGTTTACCTGTCGGTGGTTTTTCATCGTTGGCCCCATCATACTGGGGAATCTTTAGATCCTCCTCCTCATCACTAACGGCAACAGCCTGGGAGTCGTTCCATGTCGTGTCAAGGCCCTCCAGGTCAAAGTTCAACTCCTCTCCTTTACTGAATGAAACAAATGAATTTAAAAAATTTCTAGATGTATGCCAAATTGAAATAAATTGAAGACAGGAGCACACTTAAACTCTTGTAATAGAACTAATACCGATATCATGTCTGTCTACATCATAGTTACCTTTACTTTTTATAAGAGATATCTCATAACTGGCGTTTTTACCCCATACTCAATTACATGTATTCTCATTTAGCAAATATCGATCATAATCAGTGAAATAAAATTAACTACAACAGACTGAGAGTATTCCTTACTTTTCCTTGGCCTCGTTGCCCTGACTCCCATCGTTTCCCTGACTGCCGTCCTCCCAGACAATCTGTGACATCTCCAGGGTCTCGGCTTCGTCTTTCTCCGCCGTCTCATCGTCGGGGACGACAGGGGCCTCCAGCAGGATGCTGTCCTTCTCCTCTAGAATAGTCACCTGACCAGCGGCCGCCTGAGACGCTGGGGGAGAACCATCCTCCGCCAGAGACGCCAGTAATGCTGCCAGGGACCGATCCTGGGGCTCATCTGTAACCAAGAACCAAACAAGAATAAGTAGAGAGAGTGGAATGAAGTGTATGTGGGATTTGTGTGTGTGTGTGTGTGTTTGTGTGTGTGTGGGGAGGGGGGCTCCTACCTGACTGCTGTGACAGAGGTGTGGCTGAGAAGCTCTGACTCATAGACACAATTCTCTGTATAGAGTCCATGTTGACAATGGCAGTTCTTCCTTCTTCCTCTTCCTCATCCAGTATAACAGTGCTCTGGGAGGCCTCAAAGTCTTCTGGAACAAGAAAAGCACTTAGATGAGCTATACACATCTAAAAGAAAAAATCTAAAAGAATTTATAACATTTGCTTGGAGTTAATGCTTGGAATTTAAAACATGACTGTCTTGACTCAGTGAAAACTCTTTTAATAACCGTTCCATCCTACAGAGTATTAATTTCATTTGAGTCATAAAATTATATCTGGGTCCTTAGTTTTGATGTTTCTCTCAGTTACTCTATTTGTTCCTACCTTCCTGCTGGGAGGAATGGAAGTCCACACTGGAGGCAGACTGAGTGGGCGGAGCTTCCTCCTGAGAGGACTCAGACATGGAATCCGGTTGGCTGTCACTATGGAAACATGTAAATGAAGGTATTTTACTGGCTACTCTGTCAACAATTTTTTTTTTTAACACTATTTTTTTGCTGATGTTGATAGTTTGGGGAGCATAACAAATTGTACTTACACATAAGGAAGCTGACTGAGAACAATTTCCCTGAAGCGGTCAGAAAGAGCCTGGTCACTCTCACTGATCTCCACTGACCCTCGATCTGTAACACACACCACACACAATAAGTAAGGCTTCCAATTAATGAGAAGTAATATCAAAAGAAATTAATGTACAAATCTATTCAATACAAGAAAAATTCTACTACACAAAGAATTTCCATAGAAAGACAAATCTTTTATTAGTTTTAATACATAACAATTAAAATAAAATCTCCTTCACAACAAGAAGTCATGGTTAGTTCTAATGCCATGTGACCCTGTATTGTATTTAAGCTGTGACCTTGAATTTACCGGTAACCTCTGGCCCTCTCTCTGATACTTACCCATTGGTTTTCCCAGAGTAGCAGGAGGAAAAAACATTAGTCACCTAAGGACTTTATATGAACTGTTTATTGATAATATGACCTATGTCATTAACTTTTGACATTGACCCTCTGACCCTGTGTATAACTTTTTAACTATACATGTAATTGTGCAACCTTTGACACTTTCCCTGTGGCACTGTTTTTAACCTTTGACACTTACCCTGTGAGGCTGGAGGAGTGATCTGGGATGACTGACCCTGGTTTCGTTTTCTTTGTCTCTCATCTTCCCACAGAGCGGCCAGACCAGGATTGTTTCCAACGTTTGCTAAAAATGTAGAAAGGATTAATGCTGATAAAATATAGGGAGATAACAATATTTTTTGCATACAGTTAAACATGGTAACATTTCTCTACCACAGATAATCACGACCTCTTTCTTTTTTATTTGCAATTGATCATACAACTTGTTATAGTATTATTTGCAGTAGATTATTCCACGATGACTAGTTACTTGTGAGGTGAGTATCCCTCCCCACCAAGATATTGAGTGGTTCTTGTGATTACCATTAATATTCTGTTTATTGTGATAAATGATAAATTTAACTGATTACGAGTGAAAAGTTTTTTCAAGTTCTTCACTACCACTGATAGGGACAGATAGGTCTTTACAATTATTTTGAGAGGATAAGCATGATGACACATAAGTTTCTAGAAGCTTTGCTTACCGTCCACTTCCAGTCTGTTAATGATGTCAGCGGCCACCACGTCTACCTCAAGTTCACATGTACTCTGTCTGACCACCTCATTCCCCAAGTACAGGTCACTGAAACAGTGAAAATTACAACACATATGTACTGTATAAAACAAGATTAACAGATTAGGCTAGTATCAATTTATTCCACCTTTAATATTAAAATGGATTAGTATTAATATTTACAGCACTCTGTATGTCAAATGGAAAATTCAGAAGTCACAAGATGATGACCTTTCTTTCAGAGCTTTGGTTGGTTGTTTGGTTTACCTTGTGATTGTGTCCTGGTTCCAGATTGGCTGGGACTGTAAGGAGGCGTTACTAAGCCAGTCCTGGAGTGATCCATCAAGTGAAGAAGGGGAAGACAGGTCAGGCCCACGGTTCTCCACACAAACTTCAGGATTTGCATTTTCTGTTAAGATTTATAAACACAGTTAATTGCATGTCAAAGAGGTTAATGTTATTGGCAATTCCTGCACAGTTGGAATCACCAGACTTTTTAGAGGTAGTGAAGGAAGAATTATAAAAAGGTATATTAAATAAGCCTGTCTGTAGCAAAAATTACATAGAATTTAGTAACAAGCAGTTTGGGTAATTTGTTACTATGCTATAGACCCAGTATTTGTTCATTTGCTGTTGTTGTTTTGTTTTTGTTCTTAAATCTGTATAAATGTTTTAAAACAAGTTTAACAGATACTTACCGTCCTGGTTCCTTCTCCTGAATTTGACAGCTGCCACGTTCAACATATTCATTCCATAAAGATTGTAGTCTATAAACATCTACAAAGGTGAAGGTCAAGTTAATCATCAACTCACTAGTAATGGAGCATCATGTAAGTATGACCTGACTGTATCTATAATCTCACTATAATACTGCTACATGTAAGTATGACCTGACTGCATCCATAACCTCACTATAATACTGCTACATGTAAGTATGACCTGACTGCATCCATAACCTCACTATAATACTGCTACATGTAAGTATGACCTGACTGCATCTATAATCTCACTATAATACTGCTACATGTAAGTATGACCTGACTGTATCTATAATCTCACTATAATACTGCTACATGTAAGTATGACCTGACTGTATCTATAACCTCACTATAATACTGCTACATGTAAGTATGACCTGACTGTATCCATAATCTCACTATAATACTGCTACATGTAAGTATGACCTGACTGTATCCATAATCTCACTATAATACTGCTACATGTAAGTATGACCTGACTGTATCCATAATCTCACTATAATATTGCTACATGTAAGTATGACCTGACTGTATCCATAATCTCACTATAATACTGCTACATGTAAGTATGACCTGACTGTATCTATAACCTCACTATAATACTGCTACATGTAAGTATGACCTGACTGTATCTAGTGCTGTGCGATATTACCGGTTAACCGGTGTATCCCGATTTTTTTCTTCACAATACGTATCACGGTATTTTTTTGTGAATACCGGTTCGGGTTCGATATGCTATAAATTGTTATAAAAAGAGTTATTTGCCCTTTACAAGGTAAAATATGGCGGCAAGCGACGTGAAGTGTGATCAGAAACGAGAGACATATCTCTGTCAGAAACGAAAAGACAACTGTTACATGAAACCTCTTCATGTTAAAGCCGAATCTGCATATTACAACTTGATTCGTCAAGTTGTGCCATAAAAAACTTAGCTTGCCACTTAGGCAGTTGCAATATCACGAGAATACATGTAATAGTTTGTGTTTTCATTTGACATTGATACAAAATTTATTAAAAAAAATTATATATTGTGATATATTGCAATACAAAATATAATATTGCAATATATCGCGATACAATTTTTCAGTCGCGATACCCAGCTCTAACTGTATCTATAACCTCACTATAATACTGCTACATGTAAGTATGACCTGACTGTATCTATAAACTCACTATAATACTGCTACATGTAAGTATGACCTGACTGTATCTATAACCTCACTATAATACTGCTACATGTAAGTATGACCTGACTGTATCTATAACCTCACTATAATACTGCTACATGTAAGTATGACCTGACTGTATCTATAAACTCACTATAATACTGCTACATGTAAGTATGACCTGACTGTATCTATAACCTCACTATAATACTGCTACATGTAAGTATGACCTGACTGGATCTATAATCTCACTATAATACTGCTACATGTAAGTATGACCTGACTGTATCTATAATCTCACTATAATACTGCTACATGTAAGTATGACCTGACTGTATCTATAATCTCACTATAATACTGCTACATGTAAGTATGACCTGACTGTATCTATAATCTCACTATAATATTGCTACATGTAAGTATGACCTGACTGTATCCATAATCTCACTATAATACTGCTACATGTAAGTATGACCTGACTGTATCTATAATCTCACTATAATATTGCTACATGTAAGTATGACCTGACTGGATCTATAATCTCACTATAATATTGCTACATGTAAGTATGACCTGACTGGATCCATAATCTCACTATAATACTGCTACATGTAAGTATGACCTGACTGTATCTATAACCTCACTATAATACTGCTACATGTAAGTATGACCTGACTGGATCCATAATCTCACTATAATACTGCTACATGTAAGTATGACCTGACTGTATCTATAACCTCACTATAATATTGCTACATGTAAGTATGACCTGACTGTATCTATAATCTCACTATAATACTGCTACATGTAAGTATGACCTGACTGTATCTATAACCTCACTATAATATTGCTACATGTAAGTATGACCTGACTGTATCTATAACCTCACTATAATATTGCTACATGTAAGTATGACCTGACTGTATCTATAATCTCACTATAATATTGCTACATGTAAGTATGACCTGACTGGATCCATAATCTCACTATAATACTGCTACATGTAAGTATGACCTGACTGTATCTATAACCTCACTATAATATTGCTACATGTAAGTATGACCTGACTGGATCCATAATCTCACTATAATACTGCTACATGTAAGTATGACCTGACTGTATCTATAACCTCACTATAATACTGCTACATGTAAGTATGACCTGACTGCATCTATAACCTCACTATAATACTGCTACATGTAAGTATGACCTGACTGCATCTATAACCTCACTATAATACTGCTACATGTAAGTATGACCTGACTGAATCCATAGTCTCACTATAATACTGCTACATGTAAGTATGACCTAAAATCCATAACCTCACTATAATACTGCTACATGTAAGTATGACCTGACTGCATCCATAAACTCACTATAATACTGCTACATGTAAGTATGACCTGACTGAATCTATAATCTCACTATAATACTGCTACATGTAAGTATGACCTGACTGCATCTATAACCTCACTATAATACTGCTACATGTAAGTATGACCTGACTGTATCTATAACCTCACTATAATACTGCTACATGTAAGTATGACCTGACTGCATCCATAATCTCACTATAATACTGCTACATGTAAGTATGACCTGACTGTATCCATAACCTCACTATAATACTGCTACATGTAAGTATGACCTGACTGGATCCATAGTCTCACTATAATATTGCTACATGTAAGTATGACCTGACTGCATCCATAGTCTCACTATAATACTGCTACATGTCGGTATGACTAGAATACATCTATTAACCTTCAAGCATTAATTTGTGAATAAGAGTAGTCTACTTTATCATAACAGCCAGTCAGCTGGAGCCTATTGAAGTACACATCCACACACCAATTGAAATATTAACCCTAAACCTCACCTTGTGTACAGTGTATACCTACTTGTAACGTGTGGGGTATATACATGTATAACTTTATCGTGGGGCTATACTAATTCTACAGTGTAATGTGTGGGGTATATACATGTATAACTTTATCGTGGGGCTATACTGTAATTCTACAGTGTAATGTGTGGGGTATATACATGTATAACTTTATCGTGGGGCTATACTGTAATTCTACAGTGTAATGTGTGGGGTATATACATGTATAACTTTATCGTGGGGCTATACTGTAATTCTACAGTGTATACTTACTTGTAATGTGTAGGGTATATGTGACTCGTGGGGCTGAAATCCTTTGTTTAACACAGCTCCCCCTAGTAATAAGTCTGCAGCCCTAAAATAAATCATATAACATTTGTTTAACACAGCTCCCACTAGTAATAAGTCTGCAGCCCTAAAATAAATCATATAACATTCATTGACTAACTCTTCAGTATCTCAATACGCACAAATACAGAGGTACACGAGATCATGTGTAATGATGCCTCAAATTCTCTAATCTAAAAGAGCACCCTAACAAATTGCTGTCTTTAAACAGCTTGATTATATCTCGGGGTTTACAAGGTAAAAGAAATGAAAGTTTAATCTACATGCAGAGCTGCCGACATTATAAAATGAAAAATCATAAGAAGGAGTAGGGGCTGCTGGAGATATTTTACCTTTGTTTAACTCTGAAATAGAATGGCAAGCTAGTCTGGGTGGAAATGGACAACGACAATACAAGCAAGGCTTACTTTATTGCCAGGATTTTCCCAATTAAGCCTTGCCACCTATGTCTACACAGGAACAACAAACAATTAAACAGTCTACCCCAGATAACAGATTAAGTGTGCTGTAAGATTATCTGTAGACTGATCTTTGTTACACAGTAATTCCTCAGTAACTCATTATAAGCTACACAGGTGTAATACTCAGTGATACCTCATCACTTCTACACACCTTGACCTACTTCTGTCTACAGGTATACACAATGATAACTTATATCAGTACATCCATATACAGTGTACCTACTGCTCTATACAGATTTAAAACTCAGCATGCGTGTGGTGGGCTATGTAGTCTGTACATATATAACATACAGGTATCTCCTAATGGTGCCAGGGTGGGGGGGGGGGGGGCTATGTAGTCTGTATAACATAATACCTTCTAATGATGTTGGGATTGTAAAAGTAAATCTTCAGAAACTGTTGTTCTTTTTCATGGAACCCGTACATAGGACTGTAAACAAAAAATAAAAAATATAAAAATGTGAGGGAAAAACAAAGTAACATTTTCTTAATACCGGGAAATATTTCCATTTAGTCTTTTTTCTTGTCTTAGAAGATAATTTCTATGCTGTTTATGAATAATCTCTACGTACACATCAGACGTGATGGGCAAGGAAAATCTTTTAATAAAAAAATACATAATAACTACATATATAGATATTATATATCTAATTTTTAATGCCTAAAATGGCAAAAATTCAACATGAATGGTAAACTTGCTAATTTTTCATTTCACAAGTAGGCTGAAGAAAAGCCTTACATTCCAGACACTAGAGTGATTTTGTACACGTGCTGTATTTCTGAGGAGGCATTTCCCTGGGCTACATTGATGGCTTTATCCAGGCTGTTGGCAAACAGTCGTAAGTATCGATCCCATGGCTGCGTCCCATCGTAAGGTACATACAGGTACGGAAACACCCCATGCACATGCATGCACGTCTTCTGACCTAAAAATAGCATACCATCCTCCTTGAACACTTATTTGACAACATTCATTTCCCAACGTTCTGATATAGAAATTTCTTAAATCAACATGATCAAGATAAAGTTATTTTTATGACATTAGTAAATGTGAAAACATATTATTTCACTTGCATACTAAAATTAAACACATTTATAAAGATTTATCAGCATAAAAAGTACTTGTATCAATTTTCATGCACATTCATTCATTTACCCTGGGGTATTCAGACCATTTCATGATATGCTTGTTTATTATCATGATTATAGATACACATGTATTTTGTGGTACAGTATTGTAATTTTCCAGAATTCAGTGATGGACAAAAAGGTGGCATTTATCATTTTCAGGGCCAACAAACTGAATGGCCAAAGACCCCAGTATTTTGTGAGGCCCCGATTGAGCATACCTTGAGCTGTTGAGCCATACACTCTAATCACAGGAACTTTCTTAACAACGGAGGCCCTGAAGTCCGCATACTGGACGTCAAGTCCTGGTATGGGGGACCCCTGGTAATGGTCTGTCGTTACGATTCGGATCGAGAACATTCTGGGTTAGTTCTCATTCACTCCTCAAGACTCATCTTCTGTAAAAAATAATAAATTAATAATAAAAATTCATGAAATAAAAATATTTAATAATAAAAATTCATGAAATAAAAATATTTACAACAGCAATATACCTTAATATAAAAAAATTACATTGTCCTCAGAATAATTAAAGCCACATCCCCCCACACAAAATATCCAACAAAAGAAGATGACTAAGACCTTACATGCATGCTACTATCATTATCATCATGCAGACATATTTTTGAGACAAAAGATGACTCAAAAGCAGAGTCAAAAGCCGAGATTGTGACATGTCGACCTACAAATCAATACATCTGTTTTATAGGAGTCTCTGTATGCACTGTACTATAATTACAGCTCTGTTCATGTAACAGGATCTCCAAAACAAGGATAAGCCAAAAGATATGTGTTATATAACTATAACAGGAATTAATCCCAATGGGTCAATATCAGTATTTATCAGTCATTAGTGTTTGATGCCATTATCAGATGACAAGACACCCAGGGTGGACTGAGAACACCTGTCACTTTTCTGTTTTCATCTGAAACTCGGCAGAGAGTAAATGGTAACCTGACCCAGCAGTCTCTGACTATCAGTTAGAGACCAAGACATAACGACCAGTATTAGGAGACGGAGACATGAAGATTTCTGTCGGGTCTGCAGAGTTAGTAGAGACATACAGCCTCCTTAATCAATACCATTCAGCTCTCAGACAATGGGAATGACAAGACTGTCTTACCAGAAGCTAACCTAACACTCACCTTAGTCAAAACAGAAACCAATACAAATGCTCTTTATTACCTATTAAATTAAGAGAACTGCAAAATATTTACGCACCCCTAAGGCACTCTTTCAAGTCTGCTCATAGATTGACAGGGGGCCTGTTAATGTTATCAATAAGTAAACACTTTAGAGGAGGAGGGGGGTGAGGATTCTTGCATTGTTTTTCCAGGGAGGGAGAGAAGAGCATATAATAACTACATTTTTTTAAATCTGTGAAATGCTTAATTAAAGAGACAGACTGTCAGATGGTGGAAGGGGAGGGGGGGGGGGTACCCCTTAGAAAAAAGCAGTAACAAAATCAGTAACAGATCTATCTGTGAGTGGAAGTATAGGAAAGCAGGAAATGGATGATGTTGCATGTCTGTTACAGCTTAACTTAAATACTCTGCCAGCTGTTTCAACTTTACAGCAATCTGAAATAGTAACCTCAGAGATTTAGACAGACTGTGATATATATAGTCTTACAAAAATACCAAATGTTAAACTTTCATTCATAATATTTCTTGCATTAATATTAATTAAACTACCAAACCAATATTTTACTAAACAACACAAACTCAAACTAACCTAGATTGCTGAAGTACTATTGCTATCAGAGTATGCCAATTATACATGAATGCTTGCCTAACATATAATCCTTATCAAAACCACATCATTATACCTACTTAGTTGAAAGTCTCAAATTACATACAGAGATTATAATATATATGATAAATGTTGTCACCTTCCTTTGTATCTGAACTTCTGTCTGGCATTATTTTCTGAAACCATAATGGACCAGCTCAGGTATACATGTATACACAAACAAATCACAAGGAGCTGCTATATTTCATGCATATTTCAATGGCAATGTGAAGGGAAGTAGTGCATGAAGTATACACAGGGGTCAAAGGGTCAGACAAGCAGTCAGCCATAGCAGGATGATTGTGGTTATATAAGTGTTTAAGACCTCAGCCATAACAGTAACAATCTACAGTGCACTACTGATAAAGGAATATACTGGTGATAAATATTTAATCTCAAATCATAAATACCTACAGTGTATCATTGGGAGTCATAATACTGTAAACCAACTTTTATTCGTGATGACTTTATTTCGCGATTTACCAAGGATAAACTAGTTCGCGACGATTTATTTTCACGGTCAAGCCTTTAGGCGACCATAATTTGATTTTTAGTTTTACGGATTTTTTTTCAAGAAAGGTCAAGTCGGAGGATGAAAAAAAAAAAAAAAAAAAGACAAAAAATCATGCTAGCAACGACCTTTTTCACATATAAAGAGTCACACATTTCACTGTAGTATAAAACAAAACAATAAACAACTTACAAGATATGTTTTTTTAATATTAATACACATTACTTGTATAAATGTTGTTATTTATAAAAATGACAACTTTTAATTCAAACATTGTTTAATATGAGTACCATTTAATATTTGAAATTATATAAATTTAATTATGTTCTTCACTGTATAGTTTGTACATTCATTTGAATGTCATTTGAATAATATTCAGGGTAAATATCGAAGTTTAACTTGGCAATTAAAAGATTTAATAATATTCTGCAGACGGTCTGAGTTTCCGGCTTTTAACTGATTGATGAATGGATTTTTCTCATTATAAGGAGCAAGACAACTGTTTCCTGGATTTAACAAAGATCTGAAATTGAAGGAATTGGAAGTACCTGTTAGCCAAACTTAAAACTTTAAACATTTTTAAAAATTACATGCGTAATCTATTGAGAATGAATTAGATGGATTCTTAGATCCTGCATTCTTTTTTTCACTCTTAGTACATATGATATCAAAGCATTATTGTAGTCCTGTTCCAATTTGCTAATATTATATTTTGAAATTCAGAAACTTTATTACCCTGTTTAGCTACTTAAATTCAAAGAAGTCTTCTACAGGTACTGTCAAGTTGCTCTGCAGTTTCAAGGGCTTTTATATACTGGTGTTGATGTAGGATTTGCTAAGTCACTGAATCTCATAATACGCAGTGTTCCCTCTGCAGACTCTTTATTAGTTACCATGTACTTGCTTTCATTTCCTCTTTAAATTATTAATAAAGTACTATAGTTTATGTCTTTCCTGGTCACCGTATTATTTATGGAGGAATTGTTTTGTTTTAGGCGCATATAAACTTGTTTGCAGCAAAGTATCAAAAAAATTCATATCGTTATTTACCGCCCTTTTTTGCAAAATTTCCACATCTGGTATCTCTGTCTTTGATAAAAAACACTTTTTATGAGGATAATGAGCAATTAGAACTGCAATTACATCACACACACCTTGATTATTGCCTGTTATCAGTGGCAATAAGCAGATTAGCTACCGGTAAACACTGCATGACCGCCATTTTTGTTTTGACTTGTCGGTATTTTACAAATCGAAGTAGGTAAAAAATCCGGATTTTTTCGAAACCGGTAGAAAGAGCAATTAAAAAAATAGAGAGAGACATGCGATGGGGAGGGTTCAGAGTTGGTAGACTCTCTATAAAATCGAAGTTGACAGCTCACTTTCTTCTACCATTCTGCACATGTGTTTTTTTTACGTGTCTGACTGATTTGCTTTTATAAAACACAGGTTTGACACGAGCGGCTTGAAAAATTCCGTTTTTATTTTTTTTTTGAAATGCAAATTTTAAGAGTCGGTGGATCCGTAAAACTAAAAATCAAATTATGGTCGCCTTATGGATCTGTTTTTAACATACACATGCACTTTACCGACCGGTTCGCAGCGAGAAATATTTGCGATGACGAGGCTCTCGCGAACATCGCTAAAATTTCTTGCACGCGAATAAAAGTTGGTTTACAGTACTCAGTAGTAACCAACAAAGATTACAGTACCCTATAGTTTACTATAACATGTATAATGACCTATACAGAAACAAAATTTATTAATAAACAGAAGCTAGATTCCAGTCCCACTGATTTACCCCCCCCCCTCCCCCCCACACACACACATTAGGATCCACACCTTGTCAGGTGAGAAATAACTGAATCACTGAGTCTGATGTGACAGAAAGTCACTAATATGTCCCCTCTTAATGACATGATGGGAAGGCATAAAATCAGCCATATTAAATATTTATCTTCCCATAACTCTTATAGCAGTTGTAAAGGCAAATTGGTTGTGGTGCACTAATGTTCCTTAGTGATGCATAAGTGGTGACAAAATGTACCGGAAAATCAGAGCACTTCAAAATATAAGGAAATTTCTAATGACAAAGTGGGTGCATTTATATTTATAATTAGAATTAATGAATTGAAAGTGAAAAAAATCATACTTCAATCAAACACAAAAATAACTACGCATGAGGAGGCTGTTTCTAAAGCAGGGAATGGATGGGCACTGATGAGAATAAAATCAATGACAAGTCTGGTTATGGTAGAGAACAGCTTTATAGGACACATCTGCTCTGTATGAGGACAGTGTGGATATAAATGATAAATATTACCACAGAAAAGCAGAATCTTATAGCAGTTCCTTTTCTGTATCAAACTAGTCTGGCCTTGACCTTTTCTTTATAAAGCCTCATTTTCCAGTGGCTATAAATAGCTGGACTCTGAAAGAGAGATCAATACATTCCCTAGGTTTGATGCCCACACAGTATCTTATGATAGGTACCCCTCTCTCTCCTACCTATTCTTACAGATGTAATTATCATATAATACAACCTATTGTTACCAATCCTAATTCTTAACCTATCTCTTAATTATCTTCTTCAAAGTATTTAACCAATTGAAACGTAAACGTAATACTTTCTCTCTGTAACAAATCCCTTAATGCACTACTCTGACAATTATCTTCAGAGTCAACTCAATATATGGTAAGTTCTTTCTTACACAATAATTCATTTTTCCCAATTTTGGCACCAATATCTGCAATTTTTGGTGACATTTTCTGACTGATGTAATCTCTTTCTAATTCATAGTCATCAATATCTACTGTACATGAATATACATATACATACTAGACAGTAACAACTTCAAGCCAAAAGCATATTAGGATCATCATTTTTTCATCTTTCATATATCAAGGTGTTGAACATAATGATCATGGTAAAAGATCAAGAAGATATCAATATTAATGGACCACAGAAATCAATGTATCTAGAGGGGATTAACAGAACACAGGTGAATAATGAAGGTAATGTTTGCTGTGTGGCTCTAGAAAATGGCCCTGTCACCACCGTTTTCCCTCGCTCTATCAGAGTGAGCACCACATGG